ACAGAAAGGAATAAAATAAGGACATTTACTTCCTGTTAAAAGCACATATGTGTATGAGCACATAACCTTTTGCCAACTGTTATTGAACTAAACAGCACTACATTGATTTATAATTTACAGTTGGTGACAGCAAGATTTGTTTGAAAACAAGAATGGACTTGTTGCCAGGGACAAGTTGGAGATGATGCAAGAGGCAAACAAAGCAAGCGTCGGTCCTTTTGGAGAAACATCAAGGCCTAAGCTCTCTTAATAGAGCCATTACATTTCCTACTCAGTCAACATCAAGCATCCATGGACAAGTGCTTTTGTGACCAGTCTGATTAACATCTTTGCTGGCAGTTTAAGACCTATTCAGACATGCAAATCAATGTAGAAACTTAGGATATCTGCATCATGGCCAACAAATTCACTCAAGCACTTGAACTTATAAACATGACTACTGTAGAGTGAGGTGTACATATGCTGTTATTTTATTTATTCTTTCTTCAGTCATATTACTCTTGTAACCTTTTAACTTTTCTTATTACTCTTCAGACTTTTTTTCCCAACCTCTAGCAGTATGTCATTTTTGCTCTTTCTCGAGCTATTGGAGACAAGTGGAAGAGGGCAAAGGCCATCTCAAATGCAGGCAGACAGGAAGAGAAGACAGATATGTTGCTGATACTGCCAAGCTTATTCTTCACTGTCTCATTACCGGATGGCCAATGCCTGCCTGCTGGCCCTTTCTCTCTCTCACACTTTTTTTTTTTCCTTTGTCTCCAGCTCTTAGCTGAACACACATACACATCAGACACAAACGCCACACAAACCAAACAGTCTGACAGGCTGACCGTTTACCTCTGCACACACACGTCAGGACAAAAACCTGCTTTCTCTCTCACACATGCACGCACACACCTGCTCTTGTTTCCTTTTGCATTTATTTATTTATTTTTTAAAATTTAGTCAAAGACAAACGTGCCTCTTCAGAGCAAACACAAGGCTTTGTGGGCAACCCCATTCAACATCAAGGCAGCATGAATTAGTAAAACAAAGACATAAAGAGGACAAAAACCAAGCCAAAAACAAATCGATACAAAAAAAAGGCCAAACAAAATAATCCTCAAAAATAATAGGAATAGTTAAGAGTCTTAATGCATCTCTACCATCATATACTTGTGGATCAATGTAAGCAGAACATTGCTAGTTAAAATACGACCAAGGCGTTACAAATTAGGAAGTAGAATACTACTGAATTGTATGTAATTTTATACTATCTATATATCTTGATATATGTAGTTAGCATATAACTACTATATATAGTTAGTAAGTTTACATATAACTATATATGTCCACTTCATATGTTTGCTGGTCCTCCTCCAAGGACTCCCAGAGGACTCTGTGAACGTCTTAGTGGAGCCAGATGGCCCCCATCTTAGGTATTCAGCTGTGGCAGTGAAGTAACAGCCAAGGAGGTGTCACAGTCAAAGCTAAATGCAACCGCCATTGCCATCAACATATGAGCACACACGCACATACAGAACTGAACAACATAATAGGAAGTGAGACTTTGTTATTGTCAGCTTTTTAAGTTTAAAAAAAGTTAAGAGAGAAGTTCTGTTTAAAGTTTTAGTGCGTCTGTGTCATGGTATGTTTATTGTCTAAGTACTATGTTTGCGCAAGTACATATTTGGAATGCACTTTTGTATCTCTGTTGGTGTGCATGTCCTTAAAAGTGATGATGTATGTGTGGGGAGAACAGTGAGCTGTTATTCATTGCATTTAAAACTAAAAAGATATTTCATTGAGTCATAGCAAACCAGTTCCTCTCTAGGAATGAGAATGTTAGGAAAGTTCTGATCTATGCTTGCTCGTAAGGTAAGACAAACACCCACTTCTTTATCCAGAAGAAATGCATGCAATTCCTACTTGTTGGCATATTTATCTTATCAGTTGTGAAAGTATGGACTTCTTTAACTGCTGCTCTAATAGTTGATCAAAAATGTTTCTGTGCATTTGCATTTGATAAAGAATCAATGTGGGTTCCAATGTGCATGCTGCTGAGAATACGCGCACCGCACATTTCCGGCCAAGCCACCCATCATAGCTCCCCGTTTTCTGCCTCTCTAAATCCCAGACCACATCCCCTCTGTTTACTGGAAATGCTTCCCTTGTGCCTTGTCCCATATCCTGTAATCCTTTGCCATGTTCCAAGAACCCATGTTCAGCTATTGTCCTCCTCACCTGTTCTACACTGCCAATCATCCACATCACCTTCTGTTGTCTCCCTTCATCTATTGCCAACTTTTCTTGAATTTTAAATCCTTGTATTTTCTGCTGTTCCTCTTCCTCAACTCTAATTGCCTTTCACTCATAATGTTCAGTCTTCTTTACTTTCACCCTTCGAAATCTTTATTTTCCTATTTGTGTATTCTCTTGACAGATATTACATATCGCTAATGTTGTTAGAGGTTTCTTTTCTATGTTCTATTCTGATCTTGATGGGTTAATTCACGGAGCCTGGGCCCAGTTAAGGATGGAAAACGGGACATTTCTGCCATCCTCCGCAGACATACATCTGTCAAATTCTCCTCCATCAACACACTTACATGCATATTTCAATTCTTTGTCTCGCCTGCCCAGGAGATGTGCCTTCTTCCTCTTGGCCCTGGAGTGGATCTTAATAACTTCACATTTGTTATCATCTTGTGTGGACTGCTCAGGATTTGTTCTGTGCTCCAACCGAGGGCCCTAGTGTGCATGTTCCCGAGAATTCAGTTTTGCATGTTTGTTGTTGTGCAGTCTTTATGCTTGCCCAAGCTTATTTTGCCAAGGACTTTTGAGATGGGAATGCTAAAATCCTCCATAAACAAAATAAGCTTTGAATGTTGAGCAGACTTTGATTTTAGATGTGCAGAGAAATCAGCTAGTGACGATCTATTCATCCATCCTTAGTACATCCCGCTATTTTCATGGTCATGGGAAGCCAGCAGTCATCAGGCGAGATGCATGATAAAACCTGGATAAATCACCAGTCCATCACAGGACAACACAGTGACACAAAGGAGATACACACCTGGATGCTAATACCTATAACTAATTTAGCATATTGAATCAACTTAACAGTTATGTTCTTGGACTATGGGAAGAAGCCAGCGTACACGGATACAACCCATCCATGCATCTGGAGAACATGCAGACTCCATGCAAAGATCGTAGGCTGGGTCTTTCTGGGATTTTAACCCAACATGTTGTTCTGACTGGTGACTGGAATGTGAGAATTCTAAGACGTATCTGCTCTGATCACCTAGAAACTCAAAAATCACATCTTTTTAACATTCGGCATGTTATTAAGGGGTCCTCTAAGCCCCTTCAAAAACCATATAATTAAAACGTATGTACACATACAAACTGAGATCGACATTGGCAGATTAAACAATTATAAAAATCAGACATAAGAAATCAGTTACAAAATCATTATTGTTGCATTTCAAACTTTTTGCTGTTAGATTTTCTATGTTTCGTCATTTGCCAGTCACAGATTAATTAAAAGGCTGCCCTAACAGTCAAATGTCTTAAATGTACTTGGTCAAGAAAGAAAAAAAAAAAAAAAAAGAATGTGTGGGTAAAGCAATTTAAAGGCAAAAATAATGCAGGTAATTTACAAAATGGACAGACAGCAGTCAAATAGCTTACTCCAGGTTAAGTTATTCAAATTGCAACTGTATTTCTACACTAGAGGAACTCGCACCTTCGTCGAAACATTGCAGGTATGTGTCTAACAATGACTAAGCTATGTTGGGCAAGGTTTGCCCTCTCTGGCGCAACGTTCCCACCAGACAAATGCTGCCCACACCAGTGCTGGTGGATCTGACAGCCAGAAAGGCCTGGTGTTTGTGCTGCCAGCCCTCTAGCATTAGCTCAGCTTCATCCAGGCCTGGAATCAAGGCAGATGGCAGTGGAATAGAAAAGAGGAAAAAGACACTGTGCTGTGTGGGTCTATATATTGGAAGCCGTCAGCAAAAGGTGGAATGAAAAAGACGAAATCGGGTAGGAAGCAACATGTTTGTTCACCGTAACAACATCATCATCATGACCTTAAATGTTATCTTGTCAACACTTCATCTAAAATTGCTTTTTATCATGAACTACTGTGTACTATATAGTTATTTTACTCCTGCTGCAGCAGATACATGTATCTGTGGGCACTCTTGTACGGGATGTCCAAGCACATCTGTCAGCTGCTGTGGCCTCTCTGTAGATACACAATCAATCCAATTCATCAAGGGACTTTAAGGGCTGCCAATGACAGGCTGAGCTATTACTTGAATGACAGCTGATTAGTCTCATAAAAAAAAAAAAAAAAATTGATTAACAGCCCTCAACATTTCAGCAGCAAAAGAGTTGGTGGTTGCCATGTTTCCTTTTGTTTTAGATACATTAACATGGTTTTGGTACATCAGATTTTTTATTTTATTTTTTCCAGACTTAACATTTCTTGAACCTGGCAAGTAAAACCTTTGCACATGAAATCTCACCCTTTAAAATATAATACTGTATGTTTCTACACATAGACCAAATTGGATTTAGCAAAAGATTTATTTTAAATTTGGCCCTTTTTTTATAGATAAAACATATTATAATAATTTCAGCTTCACAAAGTATGATATGTGTAAAATAAAAATGAACTGTCCCAAAGTTGAGCTTGGGTGTTGATGTCCTATGCAAAAAAACTAAATTCTAACCAACTAGATTTAATTTGCTATAAATCCTTCAAAAACATTCAATACAAAATAAAAATACATTGCTAATTGATGCTGCTTATAGTTATATTATTATTATTTTTTTGACTATTTGACTTGCTACCTGAAACGTACTGAAATGTGAAAGTTTCAGTACCTCTTGAGCAGAAAGTCACAGATTGAAATTCCAGACACAAAAAATGCTGCTCTAGTAAATGCGCTGCATAAATCCATGATCTTCTCACAGGGGAGAAAAAATTAAAAAGCAGGAGGCTTTACCTCTGATGATGGTGAGCTTGGCGCTGACGGAATTCTCGCCTGCGCTGTTCTCTGCTAGACACTCGTAGATATTCTCATCACGTGGTGCTCGGAGAGGTTGGATTCTGAGCACAGCGCCAGCACCCTCGTCAAACTCAATGGTCTGTGAAATGAAGCATAAGGAGTAAAGTTTGGCTATGTTTGTTTGGGATTTCAATTTAAATACCACCATTTTTTTTAAGTTGGCAGCAAAGTGTAAGTAAAGAGTAGATCACCAGAGAAAGCAACCAGCGATGGACAACATGGAGCTGAAATTTATCACAACCTGTTTTGCAATTTTCTTTCAAGTGATTATAAACAATATTACAATCCAACACAGTTTTCTGGGAAATAATCATTGCTTTACTTTGCTGACTTCTACAGAAAATTTGCTACTTTAATCAACCAATTACATTAGTGCAAGAAGCTAAAGATACACAATAATAAAGAGTCATACATTGAAACATGACAAGGAATTTGTTTATGCTTTATGAAAACTCAATATGAAAAAAAAAAACAACAACAAAAAACAGTTTGGGCTTCAAAAGTAACAGTCATACTATCAGATTTTGTGTTTGTCATTGACTATATTTATTTATATTGTCAGATGGACATAAGTATGAATATTGTCCCACTGTGATCGGTTAACATGTAGACAAGTGCACCACAAATGTGGTTTATTCTATTCTTCTGAAACCAAACAATGCAAAAAAAATAAAAAATAAAAAATAAAAAAATCCATTAAAGACAGAGTTTCCCTCAACACAATTTGTGTTTTCATCTTGTTTTACAACTGCAATTATGCCTCTTTTCTGCTTTGTTCTTGTGTTTCTAAGGTTTGTTGAAAGTCCTTGGAACAACAAAGACGGATAACATATGGGTTAGGATTGTGGTTGAGAAATAGGAATTACATAAACAGTAACTGTTCAGTTATGTTCTGTTTATATGAAGTTTGTGAAGGACTCTATTAACATTGCAGACAGATTGTGGCCACCGGGTTGGTGTTTGGACAACCTAATCTGATCCGACTGAAAATCAATAGATCAATAGGTGCAAAACTAGAATTTTGATGGCGTCAGTTGTGAAATAATCGGCCTCAGCTTTTTGCACAAACCGTTGTCTTCTGACCTCTTTTCTTTGGTCTAATTTGGATAAACCAGTCAAGGATGATGATTAGATTCCAAGCCTGACGGCATAAACCACAGTTCTAGTGTCTACCCCTCTTAAATGGAAGCTTATACCATTACAACCAAGGCTTTACTGCTCCAACCGTCTGAGCAATGTGTGACTTTGAACCACAAACAGGAGCCTTCAGCAGCTCTGCTGTTTGGGTGACGCACATCCAGGCCTGAGCAGCTAATTAGGCTAAAAACACTGCAGAGCATGCCACCGTGATCAATATCAAAGCAGCTGTCTAGAGGGTAGAGAGGATAAGAACAGAAATGAAACTACAACTTCAAAGCCCACTTTACCAATTTTTATGCCCAGCTAAATGGGAACCGTCCATTCGGCTGGGCTCCTTCGTGCCCTTGGCTTTGTTTTCCATTTATCATGCAGAGGAGGAGCAAGCACAAACAGAACTTGTCTTTTTATTTTATCCTCAGTTGGGATTCTGCTCTTCCTGTTGATGCTTGTCATTTTTTTTTTTTTTCACTTTTGCTTTTCAGAGCCTTCCCTCACGGTTTCCCTCACGCCGCTACGCATGAATGTGCAGGTTCGGATGTATGCATAGATCTGAGTGCTGTCACTGTTAAATAAAGCAACTTTTTTTAATTAAGAGACATTGAGCATCAGTCAAGACTCTTAGAGATGCCATCTGGGATGCCTGCCGAGAAGTGAATAACAAACATCATGAATAACGCACATGCATAATCATGCAGTCAGGGCTGCTTCAAGAAAAAAAACAAAAAAAAAAACAGCTCTGGTAAAATGTGACAATAACAGAGTCAGTCAAGTGCAAAAAGGACACAGTTTGTGGAATGTGAGGGATCAGCACTTCAATGCTGGGCAGCGGTAGCTAATGATAGACATGTAAATGTTCAAAGGTTAAAAGAAGTAAATCCACGAAAGGTGCGATGTGTTTTCTACATCAATTTGTAAAAATCCTGAGGGGAAAGTTAAAATAATGAGCCTTTTCAAAATTGCTATGATAAACTCAAGCTGAAAGAAAACGGCTCACAAGATGGTAAAACAGAGTAACTGAAAGTCAAAACAGTTGTAATTGTACAGAGTTTTGTGAAGGTATTCATATGCCTTGACCTTTTCCACATCATGTTATGTTACAGTCACAAACTTGAATGTATTTTTCTCAAAGTTTCATGTGGTAGAGCAATACAAAGAAGCACATAATTGAGACATTAAGGGACATGGATTTGTAGATAATAATAAAAAGAAATTCTCCCTCCCCCAAGAGATGATTTGGTAGAGCCATTTTTAACTGCACTACTAGCTTTGCTCATCCACAGCTTTCCTGTCCCTGCTGAAGAAAAGCATCATTGCTGCCACCAACATGTGTTCATTCAAGGTCATATGCAGTGTACATAAACACATTGTGATTTGCCTGTTGACAAATTTGGTCTTATTTGTATTTATTTATTTATGACCATAGAAGCTTAATTTACATTCTAACTATGTTGCTTACACGGTTTGAGGCTAACTGAATCACACGACTTTACAAGTTTCTTTCCACACTGACTTTCATCGTTCCCATCGTTCATGGGAGTCAGATTTGTGCAGTGCCAAACTAATAGTTGTTCTATCAAGAGACTTCAACCTGAGCAGTTGGAATGTGTAGTTTCTGCAGAGATATAATAGTTGTCTCAGTTCCCTCTGTTAAAGCTCTCTTCTCCCAACTAGTCAACTTAGACAGATGGCTATGACTTTGTAGGTTTGCAGTTGTGCTATACTTTTTTCCGGTTTCTGTTAATAAACTCACCGGTGCACAGTGATTTGGGATGTTGTTTTATAAGCTAGCCCTACCAATAACTTCTCCATATTTTTGTTTCTGAGTGTTGCTCTGTGCTCCGTGGTTTTCATGTTGCTTTTTAGTTTATATACTATTGTTCTTCATAAAAGCCCTCACGTAACGATTACATTTATAATAACAGTACATTACACTGGTAGGCTCCACTTAGTAGCGATGCATTATTTAGTGCTGATCTATCACATAAAGTTGTAAAATAGTAAACTGAAGCTTGTGATTGTAACAAGGCAAATGTGTGAAAAGTTCAACGTTTGTGACTACTACATGAAGGAATAAAGAGGGCACTTAAGAGCCCACTACTATGCAATCAGAATCAATAGCAAAAAACAAGATGTCCTCCATTTTCACACAGCACCAAAATCTTTTTAATATGATTAATTCCATTACATGTTTTCAAGTTGTATTTAATAATTCACTTTAACAGACCCGCATGTGAGCATTTAGAGTTAGGGTTAGCATTTAGGTATGACATGACAGTAACATAAACTGTCTCCCCACATTAAGTCAGCTCAGCACACCTACAGATAGCAGAAAGGCACAGCATAATTCACAAACTTACCTCTATGCGCTGAGAGTTCACCTTCTTTCCTTTCTTGTTCCAACTAACTTTTGGCTTGGGGTCGCCTGTTGCCTGGCAGACAAAGGAGACCACTCCGCCCGAGACACCAATCTGGTCAACAGGAACTTTAGTGAACTCTGGCTTTGCTGGAGAGCAAAGAAAAACATATATTACCACAGGCTATAAGATAAATGCTGCAGCACTGGTGCTAACTCAGTTCCTTTAATTACATTTCACAAAGAACTCACTTCCAAATGTCAACCAAGTGCATGTGCAAGCATCCACACATACTTTATCTTGGTCTGTATCTAATTTTCACTTTGCACATCTCCTTGTATCCACTCCTCAAACTGTAGTGCTCTACAACTTTCAAATTTATATGATAATGCCCAGGTTGTGATGATTATAAGCTTAAACATGTATCATTTCACAAAAAAAAGAACAAAGGACAAAGGACAAGGTCCAGTGAAGACGCAAATTCTTTGGAAAAGGTCATTAACCCTCCTGTGGTCTTAGCACGACGCTCAGGAGGAGCATGGCAGATGTCATGGTTGAACAACAGGGAAGCAGTGGGGGTGTCCCGTCAGACCGTCAGTACCTAAAACCATCCCTAGCCCCCCCCAAAAACCTTGTAAAAGCGTATGCAGGATCAGTGTGACCCTGCTGGATTGTGAACAGGGTAAAAAGCTTGCGGTGTTCAATCTACCCTGTCCCTTAAGACCAGGGGCGAGTTAAAGCTGTGACCTGATATGAGAGAGTTTTCCTCTTTATGGTAACAGCTAACTTATTTCTACTACAGAACAGTGAAAAACAATCATTAGTTGAACTGCTCAAATAGAAAATGCCTCAGTTGTTTTAACTAAAAACCAACGGTGAAAATAGCCGTCGCAGTCCATCAAAAGTTTAACACACGTTTGGGTTAAAGTAGGTTTAAGAGAACAAACTGGATGGAAAAAGAGAGAAAAAAAAAACCTACAGCCTCCTGGGGAACTTGTTAAATCTGAATCACACAGATATACGGCAATGATCAAACGGCCAAGCGCACAACATCAAATTAATAATTGAGGGACCACGGGCCGACACAGGTCTCCAAGCACTGCTAAACACATATGAGGGAGAATTCCTGCATTCATTATCAGGCAAAGAGAGGTGGGAAGAAGGAGAATGAACCAAAAAGAAATGGCATGAGACATGGCAGAGGAAAAGAAGAAGCATGAGCGCTCTGCCTCAGGAAAATAGGGCAAGTACACTCAAAGTTCAACTCACTGCCTCCAAATATTAAGCCAAATATTTCACAATACTGTGAAAGGATAAAACCAACCACTACGCAGCTCTTCCAACCAAGTAAGTGTTTAATTCATAATAAGATTATTAGGGACTAACAAGGATACACAACAACACATTTTTGTTTTTCACTCTTAAAGCTGCATCCTTGCATCATTATGCTGTCTGTGCTGGAAAACTGCAACACCAATAATAGGATTTTAAAAAGAAAAGAAAAAAAAGAAAGCCCAACAAAATGAACTTAGAACAAAACTTTAAACTTTTTCTCACTGTATATTTCACACATATGTATTTAGAAATACTATAAAGGTTGCGGTGTAAATTGAGCACCTTTGCCTTGTCGTCATCTTAAGGAAGTGGCTTACTTCATCTTCCTGCTGCATAAAATGATCCCTACTGGCATTTACACTTTCAATTTCCATCCTAAACATCTCTGTGCAGCTTTACACAACACAGCTTCTCCAGATTTGACCTTCCTTTACAATGTGCCCTCTGTTGAGACAGAAGAGGGCTTTACACACAGCAAGCCCATGGCAGTGGTTCTTACTGAAGGCCGGCATTCTTTGATTAGTTTTCCCGTGGACTGTTTGACATTTCCACCCAGTTGCATTCTCCCCCTCTCTCCGGCTTCACAAGTTGAGGGAGATGTAAAATAAATGTGAATGCCTGGGTGTCTGGCTGAATTTACCTCCTGACAGATTTTGGATTTTTTTTTTTTTTTTGCTATACAATGTACTGTATATAGTTTTGAGTATTACTTGAGGTAGGGTTTAAATAAAATAGGCAGTCAGCCAAAAAGAGAGCTGTGAAGAAGAAACAAAAAAAAAAAAACAGATGGGATAGAAATAAAAATGGAAAATGACACAGTCATGAATGACAGGACGAGTGAAGGAGCAGGAAAGGTCAGTGGTGGAGGGAATGCTAGAAGAGTAGAGAAAGAAGGTGACAGGAGGTCTAGAAGCTCTGAAATTGGTAAGAATTAGTGTGGTATAAAAAGTGCTGGGCAACTCATCAAAAAGTTTTCCTAACTTTAACAAATTCTAGCTCGTACTATTTGTAACTCACAATTGCCAAGCTGATCTACTTCTTGAGGGTCTATTTATCGCCTAAAGAAGAAATGTGTATATGCTGAGAACACAGAAATGTGTATATGATGACAACACACCAAGCATTTTTCTAATCTCATCTTTGACACATCAGAATACATTCTGTCATATGTTAATTTCAGTCGCACTTTTAAAATTATCACTTGCATCTAAACCTCATGCTCCTTAGTGCATCTCACAATTAGAAGATGTGGATGTATAAGAAGGCCATGCTTTTTTTTTTAGCTATTCAAAAGAAGTAAGGCTTGTGCACATAGTGTCTTCTACATGTGGAAAGAAAAGTTTCTTTATAATAAAAACAGCCTTAACGGGTCAGAAAATATAATAAAACCTTTACACAAAGCACTAAAAGCCAATGATAAAACTTTCAAATGTATTCTACAAGTAACTATAACAAGCAAAGAGGCATTAAAACAGGAGTCATTTGAGTAAAAAAAAAAGTCTGGTCAGGAGTCTGGAAGTAGACCCCTGCACAATCTAGAGATGAAGACGTTTCCAATAATCTAAATGAGAAACAAAATAAGTCGATGACCAGCCTCACGTTTACGTTTTGAAGCTAACAATTTTATTTTTGAAATATTTTCCAACTGAAATAAATTTCAGACCAGATTTTAGGAGTGACTGGTTCTAGAAATGGATTGGCAAAACACATCCGTTCTTCAGATTTGACAACAGAGGTGGATATACAGTAAATGACTGTTTTGTTGCCTAATTTGTGAAATGATGCTTCAGAGTCCTTATTGTAGAAGTACAACTAGGTGCCAGCTCTGTACATTTAGCATAGAATATTTACCTTTTATTAAATTCTATGTAAAAGACTTAGTAGAAAAAATATTGGTACTAAAACATAACGGCATGGAACTGCACAAAAAAAGGCTGGTTGAATCTAAGACTAAATTTTCTTGATAAGAACCAGAAATCCCCACCATGTCATGCATTTATTAAGGTGCTGTGGTGCACAGCTGTAAGATCGACCACAACCTAAAGTATTGTCTAAAAACACTTCCTCAAGAGGTACAATGCTCTCTTTTGTTGGATTTTTTATTTTTTAGTATTTAGTGCGTTTAATTGATACATACACCAGATTTTATTCTTTTGACATATCTATTTTTTTTTTTTTTTTTTTTCATTCAGCAGACGCACAGATAAAATCCAAAGGAGAAAAGATGGGAATACATTGAAAATATTTGTCTTCCATGTCTTTTGCTGATTTTCTTTATCTGTATTGTTTGTGCAGAGATGGTTCATTTTAAAAGAACCAGTATGCGTTTTTATGCACAAACCATCAAGAACCTCTTCAGCTGGATGTGGGCTTGTGAATTAAAATTACACTGCAATTACTACAGGGGGTATGGCGTTTATGATTGTGTGAACTCTGATGAGCATAATTAACCTTTTTTCCTGTTCTCTTTTGCTATGTGCCTCTGGGCCTCATCTGCCAGTTAGTGCTGACTTTAAGCCCTGCTCTTTTTTTCCTGAAATTTTAACCTCACCACTGCACCAGTAATTGTAGGGTGGAAAAGGTTGAACAGTGTCTGGATTTTAAGTGCTTAAAATGTTTTGTGGTCATGAGTGATGGCACAGACCAGTCCAAAATATCAACAGGTACTTTCACAATGTGTCCTGTAATAAATCGGGCTCGACCTCTAGATAGGTTGTGACATCAGGATCAAATAAAATGCACTGCTAAACCGAGTAGAAGCTTTCAGGCTTTTTGTCCATTTATAGTGCTAGGTAACATTGACAGCTGAGCAAATTGAGTAGGTAAAGTTGCTAAAGTGTTAAACTGCAAGATTACACCACTGACACTTTGATTATTTCAATTCTGTGACCTTTTTTTCCTCCCCATACTCTCGAGAAGTGAGATCCTTGCAGAGTGGCAAGTACATAAACAAAAAAATTTACATTAGTAAAAGAATCGTCGCACAAACTGTAATTTTGAATTTTATTTTAAACATTGTTTCTATTTATAATGCTATAACCTCTCATTAAACAGGCGATGTGCCAGTTCAGAAAGCAAAAGTGCAAAGTAAAACATTACCTAAATGCATATTCTTTATTAATACTCCGATGTACATTAGAATTTGCATGCATTATTTTAAGATTTAGCAAAAAACCACCGGTTGCATTTCAGTTAAGTGAAAATTTGCAAAGGTTCAATATTTTGACCACATAATTATAATTTGGCTAGAAAGAGGTTGCAACACAAAACAGATTTATGGATCAATAAGAAAGAAACATGTCATGTCTTCCAATATTAAGGCATATAAAGAAACCTTTTACTGAAAAAGAAAAACACATTTGCATTTGGATTAAAAACAGAACCGTTAAGGGATTGCCTTCCTGACATATTTGCTTAAACTATATTCTCTGATGAGAACTACAAGGAATTTGTAGTTTTTACACCTGAAGTGGCAAAATGTGAAAATGATAGGACATCGCATTCTGTGTAGCATCTTTTGGTGTTATGATGAGGTAGAGTATTCAAGCTAAAAAAAAAAGAAAAACAAAACAAACAAAAAAACAGTAAGAAATTGTGTGGTTCTTTATCTATCTGTGCCATTTCTTAAATATGTCTTTCCATTTACTGCAACATGTGTAAAAAGTCCATCAATATAAACACAAGTAAGCATGCATTATCTTCACATACAGGACATTGAAAGGACATTTCTCCTGCAGTGGACATTTGTCCCTTTCAACGTCTCCCCTCTATTCCCTAAGCTTTTCTCAAACAGGCTGAGGTACAGCAGAGCCCA